AGAATAGATTTTATCTTACCCGTTTTCCTGGTCAGCGTCAAATTAGTAGTAAAGGAGGTTATGGGGATAAACACCCCCAATACATAAAAAAATATGAGCGCCGCAGACGAAAATTTGTAATGAAAAACCGCGCGATTTTTTATTAAAAACTTTATTATTTATCGAAGTATCGATTTCACCGTAGTATCGATTGTTATAAATCGCGCGATCTTTTATTACAAATTTTAATTATTTATCGAAAAAATCGCACGATTTTTTATTACAAATTTTCATTACTTATCGAAGTATCAATTTTTATAAAAAAGCGTCGCAGGCGAAAATTTGAAATAAAAAATCGCGCTATTTTTTATTACAAATTTGCAATATTTATCGAAGTATCGATTTTTATAAAAAAATCGCCGCAGTCGAAAATTTGTAATAAAAAATAGCGCGATTTTTTATTACAAATTTTTGATATATGTACATCGATGTAAATATTAAAATTTTACTCATAACTCCTTTTCGCCTTGGCCGCACTTGAATAAAAACCCTTAATCGTGGTGTATTTACTTTTAAAACGGGTATACATCAAGATAACCAACCGTTCAGCTATAGAAAAACTAAAAATGCAGATTGCTAGTACTTTTTACGCTGATTTTAACTATATAAATATTATTTGCCGCAATTGAAAAGTAAAGTAGATATAAAAGGTAAAACAAAAAAATGGTGATATTTCAAAATATTATTATTTTCTAAACTGCGTAACCGATTCAAAAGGTAATGATGTCAAAATAAAGACAATTAATTTATCTTCAAGCTGATATTTAAAATGTATATGCTTTATTATATATATCAGCCGAAAATATTATAAAACAAAAAAATGTCATAGTTTTTTCATAAAATAACCTTATTTTAGAAAAAGTCTATGATGAATGCTAAAAAAATTTATATTAGAAAGTGAAAGTTTTTACCTTTAATTTGATATAAATATTATATTATGATTTGTTTTTGAGTTTTCAGAATTCAGTGATAATAAAAAATATAAATGCATGTATGTGCAAATGCATATTGTAGTTGTAGTTAAACGGGTTGGCTTTCCATTATGGCCGTTCGTTAAAGGGGCGGTGGCACCTCTAACCCACCTTTTATTTTATTTATTTATTTATTTATTCAATTTTCACAATTTTCATTTGCGTTTTTTCGCCTGAAAAATGTTAAATATTCATTTGCATAAGACATTTTTATATACAAGACATTTATATAAAACACCCAGTAACCATAATAGACATCACTGGGGCGGCAGTCCCAGGTTTACCCATATATGTAATACTTCTATATTGGCAGTAAGCTAACTTCTCAATGTGTAAGAATTCCGAAATCAAAGCGAGACAGTCTAGTACCGTTTTTGTCAATGTATTGTGTACCCCTGCAGTTCACTGGAGCTAGTTCTGTACTAGCGATAATACTGGCCCCCAAGAACCACCACTAGTTCCGCGCCAATCTCCTTTACATGTATTCAACTGGCGAATTTAACGTGGACATGTCCTACGAAGGGGTCAGTTGTCTCCCCTTTGCATTACTCCGCACTAGCTATTTCGCTTACTCCAAAATACCATATATTTCGCATGCATCAGAAGATAAACTATTTCCTTAAACAATTTCGCTAAATACGAAAGGTTATCTAATTTCATAGCCACAGAAAGCAAAGAGTTCGCCAGTCCATAGGAGTAAAGAATTTCACTACTGGGGCAAATTATTATAACCAGTTTTCTGTTTTTTTTAAATCAAGTTAAATTATTTTTATTTAGTCTTAAAAAAAATTAAATACATTTCACATGTTAAGTGGTATTTTTTTGTTTTTGGTTTTGATTACATTTTTAATATATATGAACTAGTTTTATATACAGTACCGGACTAAAGTTTTCGCACATAGGATTTTTCGCAATATATGCAAAGTTTTTCATTCTAATTTATTTTCGACAATTTTTTATAAAAATATAGTTCGTACTTCACCAGAAAACATAAAAACCAAAGCTCTAAACTTTGTGCAAAACTTAGGAAAATTAAATAAATTTGCATACTAA